CTCACTATGTAGCCCTGGCCAGCCTGGAACTCACAAAATAGAGCAGGCTGGCTTGAACTAGCGATCTTCCTGCTTCTGCCTCCCTAGTGCTGATATTGAAAGCATGGGACACCACGTCCAGCTATTTTTTATTTTATTTTATTTATCATCATCATCATCATTATTATTATTATTAGTAGTAGTAGTAGTAGTAGTATTTTGGTCTTTTTGAGACAGGGTCTCCCTGTAGCTCCAGCTGTCCTGGAACTCACTATGTAGACCAGGCTGGCCTTGAACTGGGAATTGAACCCAGGTCCTCTGCAAGAGCAGTCAGTGCTTTTAACCACTGAGTCATCTCCCCAGCTGTCTTCCTATTTTTAATTTTTACTTATTTGTATCTTATGAGTGTTTTGCAAGCATGTATGTAAGTGTACCACATGCATGCAGTGCTTGTGGAGGCCAGAAGAGGACATCAGATCCCCTGGAACTGAAGCTATGGATGGTCGTTCGCCACCATGTGAGGGCTGGAGACTAAACCGAAGTCCTCTGCAAGAACAGCAAGTGCTCTTAACTGCTGAGCAATTTTTCCAGTCCCCTATTTTGCTAGTGAATTTTTATTCTTGTGAGGGTTTGTTTGCTTTTTGTTTTTGTTTGTATAACACAGGTTGCCTAGAAATTGTACATAGCTGGGGTGACCTTCAACTCCTGCTCCTCTTGCCTCTGCCTCCTGAGTGCTGGGATTACAGACATGAGTCATGGCACCAGATTTTTATTATATTTTAAATAATTTCCAAATTTATTTCCTGTTTTGTTTGGCTTTGGTTTTTTGAGACAGGTCTCTCTGTAGTCCCAGCTGGCTCAAAACTCATTATGTAGACAAAGCTGGCCTTGATCTCACAGAGATCTGCCTGCCTCTGCCTCCTGAGTACCTGGCCAAATGTGTGTGTGTGTGTGTGTGTGTGTGTGTGTGTGTGTGTGTTTAAAATATCACTGATTTAACATTTTATTTGTTTTTTTATATTTTATTTGTTTTTATGTTTATGAGTGTATTACCTGCATGTAAGTGAGTGCACCCATGTTGTGCAATGCCGTGGAGGTCAGAAGAGGGCTTCGGGATTCCCCTGGAACTGGAGTTAAGGACAATTTGTAGCTGCCATGTGGGTGCTGGGAATCGAACCCCGGTCCCCTGCAAGATCAGTCAGTGCTCTTAACCGCTGAGCCATCTCTCCAGCCCCTTAATTATTATTTTTTAATATTTTTATTTCATGTGTATGAGTGTATTGCCTGTATGTAGGTAATTGTACCTGTGTTGTGAAATGCCTGTGGAGGACAGAAGGGCCAGTTCCCCTGGAACTGGAGTTACAGGCAGTTGTTAGCTGCCATATGGGTGCTGGGATTCAAACCCGGGTCTTCTGCAAGAACAGCCAGTGTTCTTAACCACTGAGCCATCTCTCCAGCCCCCTTGTTTGTTTTTTATTTAATCTAGGTTGGTTTTGAAGTCATAGCCCACCATCCTTCAGCTTCCAAAAGTTGTGTGTATGTATGTGTTTGTATATGTGTATTCATGTGTGTGCATGCCTCTGTCACAGTGGGTATGTAGACGTTAGAAGACAACCTCAATGTCAGTCTTCATCTTCCACTTGTTTAAGACAGGGTCTCTTTGTTGTTAGAAGCACCAGGTTAGTTGGACTGAGAGTTTCTATGGATTCTCCTGTCTTTGCCCCCAAGCACTGGGATTACAAGGACATGTAACCACACTCAGCTTTGTTATCATTATCATTATTATGTGTATGATGTGGATATAGGTGTGAGTGTAGGTACATTTGTGGAGGTCAGAGGACAATTTCAGGAGTTGGTTTTCTCCTTCCACTGTGGGTTTGATACTATCTAGGGCTTCAGGAACAAGTTTGTTGTGTCTGACAAAGAATTAAAAGGCAGGAAAGAGCTGGCCATGGTGGTGCCTTTAATCTCAGTGCTCGGGAGGCAGAAGCAGGAGGATCTCTGTGAGTTCAAGGCCACCCTTGTCTACATAGGGAGTTCCAGGCCAACCAGAGCTACACAGTGAGACCTTGTCTCAAAAAAAACAAAACAAAACAAAAATAATAAAAATAAAATAAAGGGAGCCAGGCTTGGGGGCACAGCCTTTAATTCCAGCACTCCAGAGGCAGAGGCAGGTGGATCTCTGTGAGTTCAAGGCCAGTTTGGTCTATATAGCAAGTTCCAGGCCAGCTGGGGCTACATGGAGACTCAAAAACACCAAAAAAAGAAAAAAAAAAAAAAAAAAAAAAAAAAAAAAAAAAAAAAAAAAAAAAAAGCGTACTTTTGGGCTCTGGCCAGCATCTGAAAGAAAAGATAGAAAATAAATAGTTATGGTTTTCTAAGTTAGAATTCAGGCAGGCATACCCAACTGAACCCCACGATAGCTCCCAGGGAATGCATGAGGGGCAGGAAATCTGAGAAGGAAAATATATCATCTTAAACTGAATGGTTTTCCTAGGTGGTCCCCAAGCCAGGTCCTTGACCTGCCCTCTCAAGGGATTAATCCTTAAGGGAAGAAACAAGGGCATGTCTCCACCTAGAGGTAGATTCCTTTTTTTACGGATTCCAGGGATTGAATTCAGGTCCTCAGGCTTACAAGGTAAGTACTTTTTCTTGCCAAGCCATCTTACCTGGATTCTAAGCATTTTATAGACTGAGCTAGCTCCCCATCTCCTTCAAGAGCTTTTTCTTATTTTGTGGTTGTTATTGCTGTGCAAGGATTCTTATATCATTGAGAACATTTCTGTGAAGTTCTTCCAGCTTCCCTTTATTCTCTCAATCTGTTGGTCATGGTCTATTTTTCTTTCTGCAAGCTCTCCTCATGAGTCTGTGGATTAAGTGTTTGCATGTAGGCTTTACCATAGCTGTCACACAGCAGCCTACATAACCATTCTGTAGCTCTGCGTGCTGACTGCTCTGCTGTCACTGTGCCACTGCCATTGTGCTGCTGTTTCTTTGTGTTACCAACTCAGTTTACTAAAAGCAGGCAGGAAAAGATCCCTAGAGAGAAGCCTTTTACTGAGTCTAAAGTGGCAACACGAGGGCAGGCAGCATAGGAAAGTGAGTTTCTCCCAAAGGCTCACTGAGCCTGAACAGCCTGCTTTTACAGCTGACAAAGGGTGTTTGTACCAATCAGAGCCTTGTCTCTTTAATACCAGTCACAGCACTCCTTCTGGATCATCAGGAGAAGTGCTCTCCTTTGGCCTAGGTGAAAATGGCTGCAGGTTCATCTAGAGTTCATAGAGGCTTGTGATAACTAAAAGTCTGGTGTAAACTGTTTTAAACGGCCCTGGCTAAGGCTGTGCCTTTAGGTGCATGAGAAATGAGCTTTGATCACTGTATTGTTTTCTCAAACTAATAAATAAAATATTTTTTAAAAAGGGGGGGTTGGAGAGATGGCTCAGTGGTTAAGAACACTGCCTGTTCTTGCAGAAGACCAGGGTTCAAATGACATGGGTGCACTTATATGCAGGCATAACACTCATACACATAAAATAAAAACTAATAAAATATTTTTAAAAAAGATGAGCCAGGTGTGGTGGCACATGCCTTTAATCCCAGCACTTGGGAGGCAGAGGCAGGTGGATCTTTGTGAGTTTGAGGCCAGCCTGGTCTACATAGCGAGTTCAAGGACAGCTGGGGCTACAGGGAGACCCTGTCTCAAAAAGAAAAAAAAAAAAAAGAAAGAAAAAAAAAAGATGGCAGGTGCTGGCAGAAGGGCATACAGTTGGGTGTTTCACTGACAGTCCTTTTATTAAAGGCATCCAGAGTAGCAAGGAGTCCAACAGCTGCTAATTAGGGAGTCACACTGCCCCATTCTCCAAAGTCTGCTATTTGTGGAAACTTGAATTGACTGCTTACCTTTAAAACCCAAAGAACTTACTATTAACATTTAATAGTCATTTTTAACAAATTTTAACAATACTTAACAGCTGCCCAGTTCTCCAGGGAGCGGTGAATTTCCCTCATCTGTCTGAAGATGACATCTGTATGCAGCCCAGTCCAGCCGGTATGATGACCCAACTCTTACAAATGAGTAAGTTATAATCTTCAGTGAGCCAACCTAGCTCAAAAAGAACATAAATACCAGAACTGGGGTTTCAAAGCCCATGTCTGTCTGATACTGACTCCAGGCTCACAATATATTGCCTCTTTAAAAGAAAGGCTCTGATCTGGACCTACCTTCCTTCATCAGAAAGACAAGGAGGGGACCCCCTAACAGCTGAGGAGATCTGAAGCCTCAGGATTTACCGCTATCCATTCATGCATGCTTGGGTGCTAGGATGGATGTGTCCTACTACAAAAGAACCTAAGTCAAGTCCCTTCTCCAGCAAGACTGGATGAGAAGGCCAGACGGAATCTTTTCTGATAGGGATTCAGTTAGCTGGAACCCAAAAGTGATGTGAGAGACTTCTGGGGCTGTAGAGCTGTGGGTTCCTGGATTTGCCAGGCGTGGTGGCGCAGGCTTTTAATCTGAGCACTTGGGAAGCAAAGGCAGGCGGATCTTTGTGAGTACGCGGCCGGCCTGGTCTACATAGTGAGTTCCAGGCTAGCTGGGGCTACAGGAAGACCTTGTCTCAAATAGACAAAAAAAAAGGTACTGGATTCATTTTTTTGCTTAATTACTTATATATGTACTTTTTGGTGCTGGGAAGGAAACTCAAAGCCTTATTCACGCTAGGAAAGCACTCTGCCTTTAAACTATATCCCCTAGGACGTCCAGGTAAAATTTTGGATTTCATATAAGGCATATAATACGTACAAGCATGGCCCGCCCCTATTTGAGCGATAGACTAACGCTCTGGTTTATTGGAAACACTGGCTGCCCTGTGCTTACTCCAGCGACTCTAAACCTACGACTGAGGAAAGGCAAGGCAATCCGTCCGCACGGTTCTCCGAGTCCGCTCACAAGTGACAGTGCACCGGGCCGCAGCCCACCATTCCAGACCGCAACAGGCGGGGTTGGAAATCCCGACGCGCACTTCCGCCAGGCGGGGCGGTTGCCCGGAGGGGCGGTGACGTTGCCGGAAGGGGCGGGTCCGCTGGGCGCCAGGCCGCGCCGTGCCGCGCCGGCCTGGAGGGGGCCCGGAGCCCGGCCATGGCGGCGGCGGCTAGCGCCGAGGGGCGGCGCGCGGCCCTAGAAGCGGCGGCGGCGGCGGCCCCCGAGCGCGGCGGCGTGAGCTGCGTGCTGTGCTGCGGGGATCTGGAGGCCACGGCGCTGGGCCGCTGCGACCACCCGGTGTGCTACCGCTGTTCCACCAAGATGCGGGTGCTGTGCGAGCAGCGCTACTGCGCGGTCTGCCGCGAGGAGCTGCGCCAGGTGCGCCGGCGGGGCGCGCCGCAGGGTCGTGGAGGGCTCCTGACGACTTTGCCTTCCCGGTGTCCGGCCGTGGCCTGGAGGTGCAGGGTCCTAACTGAGGAGGCCCCGGGGGCCGCCGGGGTGGGGTCGGAGCGCCGGGCCTTCGGTGGCTGGGAAGCTAGGAGGCGACTGAGTGGAGCAGGAGGAGCGATGCCTGTGGGACCTCTAGCCTGGGGATCTTCCCCTGTGACCTGGCCGGAGAAAGGGCAGGGCCAGGTCAAGCCCCTGTCTGTGTTCTTTTCTCGGGGGTCGTCACTGAGGTGGAGGAGACAGCCAGGGGTAGTCTCCAGAGACTGTCCTGGAAGCTGACTGCTCTGGAAAAAACGAGGGTGAAACTGGACGTTTCCAGCCCAGCTGGGCTTCTGGGCCTCTCTGGTTGAGTCAGCTCCTGAGACACGCGGTTCCCTTCGTAGATTGGGACCTGACTCCCAGGTGCTTGGCAGTCCACAATGTTAGGAAGTTTCCCTCTTCCTTGTAGTTACAGCTTTGGGGCTTCCCTGGAAAGGCTAGGGATGTTTTGGACTCTGTCTAGACTTGGAAACCCAGGGGAAGGTCAGAGGGCGCATGGAGCTTTCCCTCACGCTCCAGCGATGCCAGCAGCTGGCGGGGAGCATCCAGTTGGACCTCCCTTGGTTTGCTGCCCTTAGAAATCTGTTTGCATCCAGCATTGTGAAATTCCCCTGCTTGGTTTATGGGAGGCTTCAGCTAGTAACATCTGCCAGCGAGTCTCACTTTCCTGTTCTTAGAAGTGATGCAGAGACGGCAGTGCTGAAGAATAGGTTCTTCCCTTTCTTTTCTTGATATTTATGTGAAAGGAGCCAGAGAGATGCAGGAATCCATGAGCATTTCCTCGGCATCTTAAGTGTCTGTACCGTACTGGGGAAAAGCAACTGGAGGTAATGTCAGTCTGTAATGTGGTGGAAGGAGCCAGACCCTAACTGGTTGAGAGCTGGATCTGGGATGGAGGAACATTGTGGGATGCTTTCTGGCTGGTGGCTTACTCAGAGGGCCCCTCCTGGCCTTACTGCCAGTCTCACATAAAATGATGGAACACTCAAACACTCAGGTTTCCCAACACACCTATAACTTCCTTCCAGAAAGGAAGATGTGGAGATCTTCACATAGGAAGCCCTAACCTGGGCTTTGGGTCTCATTAAGGAAGTGAGTGAACACCCACATATGCCAGCTCTTGCCAGTGTCTGTCTCCCTCATGCCTTGTGGGCCCCACACCCTACAAGAACTCTGTGTCAGAGGCTGTTGACATGAGCTGTCCTGTATCAGCCTATGAATATGCCGTGTCCATGCCCTAAATCTCACAGTGACCATTGGTCCCTGCTCTTGCCTTATCCACTCATTGTGGAACTAAGTCTGAAAACTAGAAGGGATGTGTGCTGAATTGCTGTGTGGAATAGTCCAACTTCCTTTACTGGGTGACTCTACACCTTGATCTTCCTTATTTAGGCATCCAAGTAGGAGCTGGGGGTAGCAGAGAGTCAACGCACAATCTGGACTTTGTAGCTGGTTCTCAGCACAGAAGCTTAGGTAGGCTGCCATCTGATAGCAGGTGGTAGAAGCAGTAGACAATGCTGATTCAGTAGTCTGAGTAGTGGAGAGCCCTGTGTTCAATCTTCAGCACTCTAAGAGAGAGACAGACACACAAACACAGCATGTTGATCTCCCACCACTAAAGAGGTTCTTGTCTTCCTTTGAACACATCTCTTTTTTGAGCCATTTTCTTCAGTTACTATTTTGCTCCCTACCTTGTCCTGTCTCTGGACAGGCCACACCCCCACCCATAAGCAGGAAGTGGGAGGGGAGTGCCACAGGCCAGCCCAGGGTTACGCCAAGGCCCAGGTCAGCAGGCAGGATCTGATGACTCAGGCAGTATTTTTCTTTTGTGAATACCTTCTCTGTCATCCATCGTCCTGGCATTTTGTTTTTTCTTTTTTTTTTGAGAAAGGGTCTTTCTATGTAGTTCTGGCAGGCCTGAACATCACTATATAAACCAGGGTAGCCTTGAGCTCACAGAGATCAATCTGCCTCTGCCCCTCAAGTGCTGGGGTTAAAGGCATGTGCACCAGGAAACCCTGCCTTTCTTAAAAAGAAAAAGAAAAAAATATATATATAGAGAGAGAGAGATTATATATATGTTTATTTACTTATTTATATATGTATGAGTGCCTGCATGTATGTAAGTGCACCTGTGTCATTGGGTGTCCAAGGAGGTCAGAAGAGGGCATCAAATTCCCTGGTGCTGGAGTTATGGACAGTTGGTTAGCTGCTGTGTGGGTGCTGGATCCTCTGCAAGAGCAGCCAGTGCCTGGCCTTTCTAAAGTTAGCACTGTTTCTGTCCCTGAGCTCCCTGGAGGTCTGGATTCTCCAGGTGGCCCTTGGGAATGACCCTTAGATGCCCCTGTTGTATTCCCTCCCCTTCCTGAGGCCTGGCCTTACTTTTATTTATTTATTTATTTATTTTTGAGAGGGGGTCTTCTGTAGCCCCAGCAGACTTGGAACTTGCTGTGTAGAACAGGTTGGCCTTGATGTCACAGAGATCCACCTGCCTCTGCCTCCCTAGCACAGATTTATTAAACGGTGCACCACCACATCCACCACACCCAACCACCACACACTTTTTTTTTTTTTAAAGAAGGAAAGGTTTATTCTGGCTCATGGTTGAGGGATATAGTCCATCACAGCAGTCAAGGCATGGGAGCAAGAGTGTGAGGCAGTTGGTCACATTGCATCCCCAGCCAGGAAGCAGAGAGAGGTGAATGGTGGTGTTCTCTCTTCAGTTAAACCTCTCTGGAAACAACTTCACGGACATGCCCAGAGGTCTCTCCTAGGTGATTCTAAATCCAGTCAAGTTGATGATCAAGATTACCCTTCACACTCTCCCTTTGCTAGAACTCTCAGAAACCCTGAAGTAATCCCATTACCACTCATGGTGCCCAGGTCCTGCCCTAGGGAAGGAACTTGCTGAGCCTCAGGTGAGCCCAAATCAACCTGTTACCCTCCAACATGGGCTCTGGTTTCATTCCACCTCCGTGTGCTGTTCCTCACATCTGAGCTCTTACCCCAGATTCAAGCACCAGCCTTATTTCTTCAGAGTCTCATGGCTTCACATGGTACACCACACTTTTGTTTTTTGGTCTTTTTGAGACAGGGTCTCCCTGTAGCCCCAGCTGTCCTGGAACTCACTATGTAGACCAGGCTGCCCTTGAACTCACAGAGATCCTCCTGCCTCTGCCTCCCAAGTGCTGGGATTAAAGGCATGTGCCACCACGCCCAGCCATACCACATTTTTAATGCTTGTTGTCTAACCTCTCTTATGTCCTCTATTGAGCACCCATTTTATGTTGGGAGTGAGGAATAGCAAGGCCCCAGGCAGACACTCCCACTGCTGGGGACTTGGGGAGGGGTCATGGTCCTGAGCAGGCCTCTCAGCCTCTTCTGGGACTGGGCCGCCCATCCCGTAGCACTCCCCCCATACCCCTAACCCTGAATCATATGCTGCATAGCCCACACAGAGGCTTCCCAGAATAGCTCAACCTCACATCCAGGATTGGGCCTAAGCTTTGTCCTCAGACCATGACCCTTTCCAAGGTTGATCTAGGATTTTTGTCTCTCTGACTCCAGGCAGATTATCTTCCCCCTTGCCTCCATGTTTTCTTTTCCCACCTGGCCTCACTGGTATGTCCCTAAGGAGGGAGGGTCTTGCTAGTTAGATTCCCTAACATGGCCACTGTACTCTTGTTCCTATTCTTATCCAACCAGTTGCCTCACCCTTTATTTGGGACACTCCAGGTAGCCCTGCTGTGTCATCACCTGCGCAGCCAGTCTCAACGAAGTCCTGGTCTCCCTATCTGAGGAGGGGCCCATCTTTCTGCTCCAGCTGGTCTTTAGACCCAACGCATCTAGTCTTCATCCTACAGTGCCCCTTTCCTAAACCTGTTCCTATATTTCATCCCTTTATGAACCAACTTTATGTCTTCTTCCCTATCTCTCAGGCTGGCCCAGGTGTGGCAGCCTAGGTCACCCCAACCAGACTACTCAGGAGAGATAAACATCCCTGGGCCCTGCTGGCCCTCTGTTTCTGAGTGCTTGGTAGATTCTCACCCTATTCCCCATCCAGACTTATCTCAGAGGCCCCTTGACACCACCCCTGCCCTACAGTTGCTGCTCATGTTTCTTGGGTTTTTGGGTTTTTTTTTTTTTTTTAAGCTCAGTGGCACAAGGTAAAGCAGGTCTGATTTTAGTGCTCTCTTAGCCCAGTCCTCTGGCACCCAGCTAGGCCGTTTGTGAGGAACACTATTGGGCTCCTGATCCCACTTGTCCCAGGCCATGTGCTTTCTCCTTGCCTCTCCTTTGTGCCCAGCTGCTCTTGGCCTCAGGTTGTTCAAGAGACATCTTGCTGGCAAGCAATAAGCCAGTATGCTTAGGGCATGGATACATAAGACAGAGAGTAGTGAGGACAATTGAGCCACTCTCCTCACCATGTCCTAGCACTGGCTGCCCAGCAGAGGTATCTAGGGACTGTGCCCACAGCTCCAAAGTAGATAGGCCTCCTCAGTGAAAGCCTGAGATGCCACTCAGCGTGGATCCAAGTGCACAGCTGAGAGAGGTCCCTGGAGCTGGTGGCAGTGATGGGGGTGTCTCTGGCACGGCTTCCTCTGGGGAAGGAAGTTGTTCCTCCGCTGCGTCTGTTGGGCTTGGATGCTTTTTGGCAGCCTCTGGGAGTTTCTTCAGATTGCTCTTCTGCCCGCCCTGGAGGAACTGAGTTGGGGGGTGGCTGTGCCTGATGGTGGTATGCCTCTTTGTGTTCAGGAGCTCTCAAGCTCTGTGTCCCAGCAGCATTCTGAGTGGCTTATGACCCTCTGCTCCTACCTGGGTCTGGGCTAGAAAGGCACCCTTAAGAGTGACTGGGGCAAGATTCATGAAAAGAAACTAGCGCAAAGCCTAGGAATCTTGTCCACATTTGGGCCCTGGAGAGGAGCTGCCAGGGAGTAAGAAGGCTGAGGACCCATGGTGGGGCAGCAGAGCCCCTGTGAGGAATCCCTACTGTGCCTCTTTGTGATTTGGGCCTTTAGGGAAGGTACAGCTGTGACTGCCAATTGAAGATGGTCTTGAAACCTAGTATGATAGTATATACTTGTGATCCTAGCACTGGAAGCAGAGACAGGATTGCTGTAAATTTGAGGTCAGCCTAGTCTACATTGTGAGTTCCAGGTTGGTGGCCCTGTCTACAGAGCAAGAACTTGTCTCAAAAAAAAAAAAGTTAGTCTTAAGTCAGGTATGGTGGTGTACTCCTGTAATCCACTTGGGAGGTGGAGGCAGGGAGGATCAGGAATTCAAAGCCAACCTTGATTATATAGCATGTTGGAGACAAGCCTAGGATCCATGAAACTCTTGTCTCAAGAAACCAAAATAAATACATAAATGAAGATGTTTTGGGAGTACAGCTACTTCCAAGATGCCCACTTGAGTTGGGCATGTAGCACCAGATGGACAGGAAGTTTATCCTGCCTGGCCTTGCCAGTTATGACAATGGGAGGGAAGGCCTACTGGGCTACTGCTAATGTGCCCCCCTCCCCAGAAGGGGTGTTGCTAAACCATGGAGCCTCCCTGGGCTCCTGATAAAGGCTAGGTGAAGGATGCCAGTCTATGTGCCATTTCCAAGTATATCATGGCAAAGCAGAGCTGAGCTCTTCCTGGCTCTCCCCTAGCTCTAGAGAACCAGTTTTAGTCACCCTGTTGCTGAGGCCCTCTGTAGGCCCTGAGTATGGGTAGGGCTCACTGTCCTTGGTCAGTTCTGAGTCCTCAAGCTCTGACTCAAAAAAAAAGGGGGGGGGGCTCCTTGGCTAAGCTTGAAAATAACAAGTGACCTTGATACAGCCTTTCCCAAGGCAGGGATGCCCTGAGATGTACTGGAAAGGCCTCACCTAATCTCAAGGCTGAGCTCAAGTGTGTGACCAGTGCCAGACATGGGGCAGTGGTGGAGTTAGATAGTTGTGTGACTTGAACCAGAGAGGTATGGTAGAGAGGGTCATGGTGGAGTTGGGGGCACTGCTAGTCATCACCATGGGAGCCTCTTGAAGAGAAGCAGCAGCCCTGGAGGATACCAGGGAAGGCCTGCCACATTGGGGACCCTGGGACAGGGATCTGGACCTCTGATCATAGAGCATCTGGAGGAGTGGGGCAGGTCAGCAGCCTTGCCCCCAATCCTACAGGAAGGGACAAGAGAAGGATCTTGTGGTAGTCAGGCTCTAACAAGTGCTGGACACCCCTAAGATCACCCTGCTGTGTACTTTCTAGATAGAAAGGTAGAGTTTTCACTCCAGTGACTGCCGTGTGTGTGTGTGTGTGTGTGTGTGTGTGTGTGTGTGACCCGAGAGAGATAGAGATAGAGAGAGAGAGAGAGAGAGAGAGAGAGAGAGAGAGAGAGAGAGAGAGAGAGAGAGAGAGAGAAAATATGAGACCGAGCCGAGACCCCTGGGCTTCAAATAGCCCACAACAGGCAGGAGCCATGGGGCTATGACTAGAGTGGTCATGTTCAGGTGCCAGTCCTCCTGTGGGAGCCCCTTTCTGAGAGACAGACCAACCCCAGACCTTGATGTAAGGTTACCTGACAGCTGCCAGGGAACATTTGTTCTTTCCTTAGCTGCTGCATGGAATGAATCCTTCTACCCCACACCATCCTATGAAAGCTGTTTTGTAATCAGCATTATTCCCCATGCCCACAGTTTGTTCCCTGGCCCTGCCCCTCTAAAGTAGTTCTGGGTGGAGCTGTAGACAGACCAACCCCAGACCTTGATGTAAGGTTACCTGACAGCTGCCAGGGAACATTTGTTCTTTCCTTAGCTGCTGCATGGAATGAATCCTTCTACCCCACACCATCCTATGAAAGCTGTTTTGTAATCAGCATTATTCCCCATGCCCACAGTTTGTTCCCTGGCCCTGCCCCTCTAAAGTAGTTCTGGGTGGAGCTGTGGGTGACTACAGCCTACAGAAACTGAGGCTGCCCCCTGGTGGAGAGTCTGGAGGTCATGGGGCGCTTGAGATGAGAAGCAGCCTCAGTGACTGCTGCTGGTTTAGGACTGTGAGGACTCCTCTTCTGTCTCTGCTTGTCTTTGGCCATCCCACCCAGGTCCTGCTCACCATTTTATCTCTCCAGGTGGTCTTTGGGAAGAAGCTCCCTGTCTTTGCCATGATCCCCATCCACCAGCTCCAACATGAAAAGAAATATGACATCTACTTTGCAGATGGAAAGGTGTTCGCATTGTACAGGTGAGGGGTCCTCAGCTGGAGGAGCTGGAGCTGCTCTGTATCCATGTGACACCTTAAGAGTCAGGAGTAGGGGAATATATGGTTCTAGAAACCTCAGGGCCAGGTCTTCCTTGGGTCTGCTGTGTGATGTTGGGTGGGATGTCTCTCTTCCTAGACCTCAGGCTCCTCTTATGGGACAGGGAGCTCCTGCCTCCCTGTCAGGGTGGTAGAGGGAGAGTGACCTTTGCTTTCTTAGCCTTTTGAGGGGCACAAGAGTATTCAAACAGGTTCTTGGCTCAAGATCCCCAAATCCAGAAGGGGTGTGGTTGTCACAGGGGTGCTCTCCTCATGTACCCAGAGCCAGAACCACAGACTTGGACCTATAACCCTGTGTCATCTCCCTGGGTGGGGGCCTGGCATGTGGCTTGGCTCTAAGGAGCAATGCTGAGAGAGCCCAGCATAGTGGGTGACTCTGGTGTTTTCCCAGGCAGCTGTTGCAGCATGAGTGCCCACGGTGCCCCCAGCTGCCACCTTTCAGCCTCTTCGGGGACCTGGAGCAGCACATGCGGAAGCAGCACGAGTTGTTCTGCTGCAAGTTGTGCCTCAAGCACCTAAAGGTGCGCCTTCCCTGGGGAAGGGGTGGAGGTCCTGCCTTCACTGAACCTCCAGAAACTACAAGGCCCCCATAGAACATTAAACTGCTTATAACCAGGCAAGGAAGGGCTCCCAGTGATTCAAGGGTCCTCCAGGTTTTGGCGGGCTCCAGGGCAGAGCTGACACCATCAGGGCTCTCTCCTTGTTCTTGCTGCTCCACTGGGAAGTGAGGAGGTTTGGGAACTCCCACCCTGTTCCCAGCCCAGTGTTCTCTGCAGATCTTCACCTACGAGCGCAAGTGGTATTCACGCAAGGACCTAGCTCGGCACCGCATGCAGGGTGACCCTGATGACACATCCCACCGGGGACATCCACTCTGTAAATTCTGTGATGAGCGCTACCTGGACAACGACGAGCTGCTCAAGCACCTGCGCCGGGACCACTACTTCTGCCACTTCTGTGACTCTGATGGAGCCCAGGACTACTATAGGTGGGTAGGCCAGGGTTGCTGCAAGGATTGGGGTCTGAGACTTCTGTGGGTGGGGGGGATCTGGGATGTTGCAGGGGGTATAGAAGTGACCATCTCTCAGGACTTTTTTGGGAGCTAGCTGGTAGTGCGGTAGGTGATCTAAATCCTGCCTGTCTGCTAGTGATTATGCATACCTGCGTGAGCACTTCCGGGAGAAGCACTTCTTGTGTGAGGAGGGCCGCTGCAGCACTGAGCAGTTCACCCATGCCTTTCGCACCGAGATTGACCTCAAGGCTCACAAAACAGCATGCCACAGCCGAAGCCGTGCCGAGGCACGCCAGAACCGTCAGATTGACCTTCAGTTTAGCTTTGCTCCGAGGCACTCACGCAGGAGTGAGGGTGAGCCAGGTGCCCACAGGATCAGCCTGGCTTGGGTACTAGGGTCTTCTACAGTGTCTTTCTGTGGGAACCTGCTCCCCAGTCCTCATACCGTTCTTGGGCAATACAGGAGGCACTAAGCCTCCATCTCTTCACCCATCCCTTGCCCTGAGCACCTGAACCAAGTAACAACCAGGAGCTTCTTGCCTACCTCTGGAGTCCCTGGAGAATTTCTTTTCCTCAGGAAGCTGTCACTGAGGTCTACTCTGTATACCCTACCTCTAAGGACATGCCCCTGTCTTTGCACTGTTTGCCTTGGCTGGGCACCAGTTCATAGAGGTCACAGCTGGTTTGTACTCTGTAGTGTCTGGGTTTATCTTGGGGTTCATAGGCTGTGGGGGTGGGGGGAAGCTTCTGCCATCCAGGCGAGAGCACTGGCTTTAGTATGGCCTGGACAGTAGGATTTTCAGACCCACTGCCCTGTCAAGGCCCGGGACAGTGACAGGCTGTGTGCTGACCACAGGGGTCGTCAGTGGTGAGGACTACGAGGAAGTGGACAGGTACAACCGCCAGGGCAGAGCTGGCCGGGCCAGTGGGCGTGGAGCCCAGCAGAACCGCCGGGGAAGCTGGAGGTACAAGAGGTGGGAGGATTTGCATACCACTGACATTCTTCTGGCACCACCCCCAGGCGGTAGCGGCCATCAGCAGTGAAGCTGGGAATAGGCATGAGGTCAGGGGGCTCCAGCCAGAGCTCCAGGGTCCTGAGGGTGGCAATAGTGTCTGCTCAGCAAGTAGAAAGGTCTTGCTTCTCCATTTAGTGCTAGCCAGAGACACCACAACCTGAGAGAGGAAGGTCACTCAAGAGCTGGGTACAGTTGTGTTGGGAAGTACCCACAAAGCAGGCATGGTCCCAGGCTGCAGTGGGGACTGGGCCCAGACACTGCCCATCTGTGGCTGTTCCCTTGGTCCTTACCCAGCCTGATGTCCCCTCCCACCCCCCCATTCCAGGGAAGAAGAGGACCGAGAGGTAGCAGCTGCCATCCGGGCTTCTGTGGCTGCTCAACAGCAAGAGGAGATTCGCAGGAATGAGGACCGGGAAGAGGGTGGCAGACCCAAGAAAGAGGAAACAGCAGCCCGAGGGCCTGAAGAGCCTCGTGGTTCCTGGCGCCTGCCCCGGGCTCAGGGAGAAGGCCCAGGTAAGGTAGTCCCACCTGCTGGCAGCTCTGTTTGGACCTTGTGGAGCTACCATCTCATAGAACATCTCACATTCCCCAACCCCACCCCCGCATCCTTACCTGAGCTCATCTCATGTCTTGTAGGCCCCAAGGAAACCTCAACAAATGGTCCTGTAAGCCAAGAAGCCTTCTCAGTCACAGGCCCAGGCCCAGTGGCTGCCCCAACAAAGTATGTATGGGAACTGGGAGGAGGGTGTGGTGCCTACAGTGGACAGGGGCATAGCTCGGGCCAGGGCCTGGTGAGCCACTGACTACCTCTTCTCTCCTTGGACCCAGCATTCTTCCAGTGCCCACCCCTAAGCTCAAGGATGAAGACTTCCCCAGTCTCTGTGCCTCTACTTCCTCCTCCTGCACAGCCTCTACCCCAGGCTCTGTGGGGCTGGCCCTGGCCTATCCTGGTCCTACCAGGGGCAGGAACACCTTTCAGGAAGAGGACTTCCCTGCCTTGGTTTCCTCAGCACCCAAGCCCAGCAATGCCCCCTCCAGCCTCATCTCAGCTTGGAATAGCAGCTGCAGCAAGAAAGGGAACCCACCCACCCCAGGAGCCCAGGCTGTAGTCAGTGGCAGCCAGCACTCCCGGAAGGCAGGGAAGGGGAACAGGGGTGGTCGAAAGGGTGGCCCATCCCCAGTGGCTGAGGAGGAGGGTGGTGGCCTTACTGTACAGGAGCTGCGGAATGTGCCCACCACAGTAGCTGTTTCTTCCTTGCTGGCACCAGCCTCTACCCAGAGCTCCACTAAAGTCAGCAAGAAGAAGAAGGCGGGCTCTGAGAAGCCTGGGGCCACCCCATCTCCGCACCTGCCCCCTGATCATAGTGCAAAGCCCTCTGGGGTTGAGCAGGTCCCTGAAGCCCCTTTGAGCAAAGCTGAAGTACCAGTAATCATTGTCGTCAATGGACACTCAGAGGGGCCGGCCCTGACACGAAATACCCCTAAGGAACCCCCAGGGCTCCCAAGGCCCCTGGGACCTCTTCCCTGCCCCACACCCCAGGAAGACTTCCCAGCACTTGGAGGCCCTTGCCCACCCAGGATGCCTCCTCCCCCAGGTATGTGTACCCAGCACCAGTGGGTTCCTTAAATTTCTGAGAAGTGGTAGGGTACTAGTGTCAGGAGCTCCAGGCCAAGGCAGGTGGCTAGCTCAAGATGGGGGTGTGAGATAGACTTTCCAGGTATCCCAGGAGGATGCCTATGTACTGCTACCCAAATATTTCAACAGCCTGGGCCCAGTCTGGATCCAGGTACCACCTTGAAGCAGCACAGTTAACAACTGCTTCATAGCATCTCATAGGGCTGAGGGCACATGAGTTTTCATAGGCCAGGTGTCTTATGGTGAGCCTACCTGAGGGGAAGTGGGGAAAAGTGGTGATGGGCCTGCTAGGGGGCAGGATGTGGGCAGAGGCCAACCCAGTTGGCTAGACAGCCACAGAAAAGTGGGTCAGTGAGGGCCACATTCAGGGTCTTGTGTCACCCTACAGGCTTTAACACCGTGGTGCTCCTGAAGGGCACACCGCCCCCACCCCTGCCCCCACCAGGCCTGGTGCCTCCTGTTAGCAAACCACCCCCTGGCTTCTCCAACCTCCTGCCTAGCCCCCACCCAGCCTGTGTCCCCAGTCCCACGACCACCATGAAAGCGTAAGTGGGGTAGCCTGACCTGCCATTGAGGGCTGGTGGAAGGGTGCCACCCAAGCTACTCTAAAGTCTCAAGCCTCTTCTTCTGACCTCAGGCCCCGACTGACACCCACACCACGAGCCTACTTAGTTCCTGAGAACTTCCGGGAGAGGAACCTACAGCTCATCCAGTCTATCAAGGACTTCTTGCAGAGTGATGAGGCCTGCTTCAGCAAGTTTAAGAGCCATTCGGGGGAGTTCAGACAGGTGAGGCGGACACAGGGTTGGAGAGGCCAGCTTGCCTTTACCCAGAGTGAGAGTGACTGGTTGTGGCTCTCTGGGTGACAGGGAATGATCTCTGCGGCCCAGTACTACAAAAGCTGCAGAGACCTACTCGGGGAGAACTTTCAGAAGATCTTCAGTGAGCTGTTGGTGCTCCTGCCAGACACAGCTAAACAACAGGAGCTGCTGTCTGCACACACTAACTTCTACAGTCGTGAGAAACCTCCCAGCTCCAAGTCCAAGAAGAACAAGAAGAGTGCATGGCAGACCAGCACCCAACAGGTGGGCCTGGACTGCTGTGTGTGCCCCACCTGCCAGCAAGTACTGGCACATGGTGACGTCAGCAGCCATCAGGCACTGCACGCCGCCCGGGACGATGACTTCCCTTCCCTTCAAGCCATTGCCAGGATCATTACGTAGCTGCTGCTGGTGAGGGTAGGAGCTGTCCCACCCGAGCACCTCCTTTTTCCTTCCTCTTCTCAGCTGCCAGGCAGCTAGGTAGAGCCCTGGGGAGGCTCAGGCCTCCTGGATAGCCAGGTCAGTCAGGAGGTCATCAAGAAGGTCTTCCCTGTGCACCATCACACATAAGTTCTGTCCCCTGCTTGGCAGAGGGCCAGTCTTGGTTTGTATTCATTCTTGTGATTTTGAAATGTGCCAGGGAAAGGAAGGGCTGGGATGCAGGGACCTGAGCCTGTGGTCACAGCCAGAGGCCACAGTGGCCCAAAATGGGCCCTCTTGAGTCCAGCCTGCAGCCCCAAAGCTGACAGCTGCAGGTCCACTGGTGCTGGAGTCAGATGTCAAGTGTGTTGTGTAAACAATTGGCTGTTCCATAATTTGAGAATGTTCCAGATTAAAAAGACACCAAATTGTGTTACTTGAAGTTCAGTCTTTTTATGAGACAAACTAAATCAGATCTCAAACTGCCTCTGACCTTTTATAAGACAGTTTATCTTCAAATAAATTTATTTTGCAGTACTGCACATAGCTGGTGTCCTGAGCATCTCTGCCTGAGTGAACAGGAAGTTGGGGCACTCGAACTCATCATAGGTCATACAGGGTCAGCCAGGATGGAAGGAGACCTGGAGAGATGGCTGAGCAACCAGGGTTTGCTTGCAAGAAGAGGATGCCAACTCTGTGTCCCACATGGAGCTCTGGCACTGCCCAGCTTTCCAGGAACAAACCTGGCCAACCAACACTTGAGTACCTATGAAACTACCTTTCAAGAATGGGGTATAGACCAGTAATTTGGCCCAGTGGATATTTAATGCCAAACCTGATGACTTGAGTTTGATCCCCATAAACCACATGGTGGAAGGAGAGAATCAACTCCTACAGGTTGTCCTCTGACCTCCACATGCATACACACATGCGCACAAAGTTTAAAAACAAATTACAGGGGGCTGGAGAGATGGCTCAGCAGTTAAGAACACTGACTGTTCTTGCAGAAGACCTGGGTTTGAATCCCAGCACCCACATGGCAGCTAACAACTGTCTGTAACTCCAGTTCCAGGGGATCCAACAGCCTCTTCCATCTTCCGCGGGCATTGCACGATATGGGTGCACTTACCTACGTGCAGGCAATACATGCATACACATAAAATAAAAATAAAAACAAATTACAGCCAGGCGTGGTGACGCATGCCTTTAGTCCCAGCACTCAGGAGGCAGAGGCAGGCGGATCTCTGAGTTCCAAGCCCCCCTGGTCTACACAGTGAGTTCCAGGACAGCTGGGGCTACAGGGAGACCCTGTCTCAAAAAGACCCCCCCCCCCAAAAAAAAGCCAAATAATAATAATAATAGGACTGGAGAGATGGCTCAGAGGTTAAGAGCACTGGCTGCTCTTACAGAGGACCTGGGATTCCAGCACCTACATGGTGGTTATCCATCTGTAACTCCAGTTTTGGGGGAACTCCAGTTTCATGGTACACAACACCGTCTTCTGACCTCTGTAAGGCCTTGCATAGTATGAGTGCACTTAAATATATGTAAGCAATACATTCATACACATAAAAGTAATGAATTTTTTTTGTCTTTTTTTTTTTTTTGAGACAGGGTCTCCCTATAGCCTTAGCTGGCCGGGAACTCACTATATAGACCAGGCTGGCCTTGAACTCATAGAGATCCAGCTGCCTCTGCCTCCCAAGTGCTGGGATTAAAGGTGTGCACCACTATGCCCAGCAAAAATAATAAATTTTTTTAAAAAACACATTAAAACTAAAAAAAAAATTTTTTTTTTTTTTTGAAGCAGTGTCTCCCTGTAGCCCCAGCTGACCTGGAACTCACTATGTAGACTACAGTGGCCTTGAACTCACAGAGATCCACCTGCCTCTGCCTTCCGAGTGCTGGGACTACAGGCATGCACCACCATGCCCGGCTCAAAACTTCAAAAATTTTAAAAAATAAAAGGGCTCAGCACTGGCTGCTCTTGCAGAGGACTTGGGTTTGATTCTCAGTGTGCACATGGTAAATCACAACCATCTGTAACTCAAGTTTCAAGGGATCCATCGCCCTCTTCTGGCCTCTGCAGGCATTGCATAATATGGGTGCACTTACATGCAATCAATAGACGTAAGATATAAATAAAATTTAAAGCTGGGTGTGGTGGTGCACTTGGAGAAGCCAGGGGGTGGTTTAGTCTTTTTTAATCCCAGCACTTGGGAGGCAGAGGCAGGCCGATCTCTATGAGTTTGAGGCCAGCCTGGTCTAGTCTACATAGCAAGTTCTAGGCCAGCTGGGGCTACAGGAAGACCCTGTCTCAAAAAGACAAAAAAATCTTTTTTAAATGGTGTACACCTTTAATCCCAGTGGAGGCAGGAAGATTTTTGAAATTGAGGCCAGCCTGGCCTACGTAGCCAGTTCCAGGCCAGGTGAGGCTGAAGACTATAGGGAAACCCTGTCAACTCTGTCTCAAAAAGAAAAAAAGATAAAGGGTAAGTGAGGATGGGAGAGTACCCCTAGCATTTCAGAGCCTGCTCAGTCTGGTTCCATTAGTGATCCATTAGGGGAGCATAGTTGTGTGGTCTGTCTCCAGAACCTGGGAATCCACCTCCCTACCTACTCCTGAATTCTGAGTCCCAAAGCCCTGAGATGACAACTCCTTACACAGGACGGATAGGTAAAAAATTATTCCAGAAGGGGATGGAGAGATGGCTGTATTTAAGAGTACTTGCTGTTCTTGCAGAGGACCAGGGTTCCCGGCACCCACATGGTGGCTCTTAACCATAGATGACTCTAGTTCCAGGGGCTCTGACACCCTCTTCTGGCCTCTGCAGGCACCGCATACATGTGCACATACAGACATGTAGGCAAAACACTCAAACTTAATCATGGTCAATGCATTTATAGTCTTTATTGTAAAGAAGTTGCAGTTGTAACATGGGACACTGAAAATACACAATCACGGATTGTTCTTTCAGAAGGGGGAGAGATCTATATATACAAAAATTGTAAACATGTTCACTTAATAGATTCACACATAATTGGTCTATGCTACAACAAACAGGGTTGTCATTCAACTGCAACTCCAGAGGGAGGCATTTTATCTGAAAGAATGAGATATGGCAACGCTTTTGGTTTTGAATTGATGTGAAAAGCCAGCTTTGAGCAATGCAAGAGTAGTCGGCTACACACAGGGACCCCCACCTGGTCTGGGCCTTAAAAGGGGGTAGAGGACAGGGTGAGAGGAACTGGTTCAGGAGGTCAAGGTTAAGCCATTTGTAGGAATGACTCTCCAGTGGCACCATAGGCTGATAGGACCTTTAGTCCTCTTCTTGTAAAAGGCTTGTCTTGCCTGGCACTCAGGTACCCAGTTGTCAAACTCCTCCCTTCAGAAGTTCTTACTGAAAGGCTGGTGCCCAGATCCACAGTTGTTTGTGTCATTCTGGCCAGAACCCATCCACAGTTGGGTAGGGGGGTCACACAGAGAGGGGCAGCTTATGGGGCACTATGAAACCTGAAGACTTGATCACAGTCACAACATAGACAGGGCCAGGCTGCTCTAGTGAGCCTGCAAGAGGAAGTGGAGAAAGGCTCTGGGCAGGGTGGATCACCATGATAGGAGCCAGTAGAGTCCTGGCCCACAGGGACATGGGATAGAGAACAAGGGTACCGCCCATCTCAGGGTACAGTTAATGTCCCTGTCTCTGGTCCCAAGAAGCCCCTGCACCTTGTCCTAGAATGCAGTTGGACTTCTGACTCCAGAGTGGACAGGTGAGCCCCAAGTTGGATGGCCCATGAAGGGAATGCCTCTCCCAGGCTAGTCTACTCCAGATGGTTCTGTCTTCTCAAGACCTTAGGCTTGGGACCTGGGGCTGGGGAAAATTTGTGGGGAAAGTCCAGTCACCCCAGTGAGGCTAATTCCCTTGAATCCAGAGGCCCATAATGGCCACCTCCGTCTCTGGCACTGGGACGGTAGGACCGGAGGGAGGTCCCAGAAGGCCTTGAGGCCTGTGATGGTGGGGTGGCCTTCCATCCCTGGTGTAAGCCTAACAGCCACTAGTAGGCAGGCACCTGGTACCCTTTGGGGCTGGTGTCCAGGGTCTCGGTGAAGGGCGGACTCTGGTAGGTTTCTGTGCCTTCCACACCGCTGCCTACTGGGTAACCCGGGTAGGCCTGTGCAGCCCCAGCGCCCAGCTGATCCGTGGCAAAGAGAGACATGTCGGTGCCCAGGCGGAATCGCTGTAGGGCCTTCACGGTGAGAGCCACCTGCACAAAGGCG